AGCCGTTTATCTAATTGCATTGAATAAATTTTTAACGCTTGAATGAGCAAGCATATCGAGTACGAATAATTGATGTACAAGCAAATGTTTGATAAAATATTTGACAACATGCAAAATCTTCAATTCTCTCGAATTCGTCAGTATTATCTAACTTATCAGTTGAAAAATCAAAAACTTTTCAATACAAAGACATATTTTACTTTTTTTCAATTTTAATAATAGTAAATGTCGATGATTATTATTGCAAAAGAAAAATTCTTAAGAATAATTGATGATGAATAAGAAAAGCTAGACAAGAGCATTTTCTTTAATATAAAGAAAATCTTTTAATGTAACGACAATTTTATCTTATTCTTTATTTTGCTATTCATGATAGAAATGTTTTAGCCAATAGAAGAATTACATTAGATTTTCGAAACATAATTTAGTGGCAATACTCAACAACTTTTGAAAGTTTTATATTTTGTTCAAGATTCAGTCTATTGTAATATTAAATTAGCCCAATCCAGCCTATTAAAACCTCTGAATTAAGTGCTATGTTATTGAAATAATACAATAAATATTATATTGCGAATATCGAAAGAATAAATGAGTTTTATTTCTAATGATTTTCAATCATTTTAAATTTTATGATGAAATAAAATTACATTTATAAATAAAAAAGAAAGCTAGTTTATTATTATTTAATAAATAAAAAGAAATATGATTAAGAAATAATAAATTTATGTGTTTGCGATAAATTTAAAGCTAATTCTTTCATTTGAAAAATATTTAATGTTGAATTAAATGTCCATTGAATATTTGATAATTCTTGTTCATTCCATTGAATTTGTTTTGGTTGATTTTTTAAACCATAAATTGTAATATTATCTAATTTAATACGATCATCCATTTTTTTATATTTATATGTCCATGGTTCAATTATTAAACGTTGTTTATCATAATTAAAATTAAAATAATTATATTTTGATGTTTGATATGTATTAACTGTTTCTCCATCATCCCAAAATAAATTTCCTTGAGCTTTTTCTTGTTTATCAAGTGCAATAATTAAATTCATTGGATTTAATCGTGATTTAACTGTATTCATAGCTGATTGTTGACGTGGTAAAATTGCTCCACCACGTAAAAATAATGGTAAATAATCATAATCAGCTGAAACATTAATATATCCAAGTTTTAATTGTTCTTCACCTGTATAATAATTAAACCATCGTTCATTTGATGATGGTAAATAAACATATTTTGTTGTATGATTTTCATAAATAACAGGAGCTATTAATAAATAAGAACCCCATAAAAATTGTTCATCAATTGACCAACATATTGAATCAGTTGGAAATTCATGTGCCATTGAACGAACAACAGTACCACCTGTAATATGAACACGATGAAAAAGTGTATATAAATATGGAATTAATGTATAACGTATTTCAACAACACGACGATTTGAATCAACAATATTTGAAGAAAAACTTCCAGGATCTTGATCAATAAATCTTATTGCATTATGATTACGAAAAAATGGATTAAATGCACCTAATTGCATCCATCGTTGACACATTTGTTCTGTTCGATTTTCAAAAAATCCACAAATATCAGCACCTACATATGGAATACCAAATAAATTAAATTCAAGCATTCCAATTATATTATATTTAAGATGTGGCCATGCAGCTGTATTATCACCTAACCAATGACCAGAATATGCACCAGATGTTGGAAATGTTGATCGACTTATTACAATTGATCGTTTTTTTCCTAAAGCTCGTAGAGCATCTAATGTTGGTAATGTTTCTGACCATCCATATAGATTATGTACATCATAATGATTATAAATTTTTCCTTGACCATCTTTTTGTTCAGCAATCATACAAAGAGTTTTGTCAGATAAATAATCACCATGTATAGCTGTTTTATATCGAGGACTTTCTAATGCTTCTTCCATAGGACAATGAAGATTCCAAGGTTCTGCATGTGGCCAATTCCATGGTTGTAATTTATTTGTATCAAAATTTGCTGGTTCACTAAAATATTTTTTTTATTATTATCAAAATAAAAAGAAAATTCAATGAAATGTGTTGATTTTCGATTTATATTAAAACAAAACTCGTTGAATACAATTGTCTATAATGGAAGACGATCGGAAGCTATCTCAGTGGCTTTCAATTTAGGTTATGACTTCTTAGAGTTACAAGAAGTACTGCAAAATTGTTATTTCTAATGTAGAACGAAATTGATTGAGATTTAGAGAAAACGACTATATTCTATTGTATATCATGAGAGATAATTCAATTAGAAAATCATAGATTTAAAAGCTACCTATATCATTTTGTATAACAGTTCGCGACGCGTCCAATGGTATGTAGAACAATTGTAATTTTACAAAGCTTTGATGTAATGAGATCATTGCACTGATCGATGGATACTATACAATCTTATGGTACTTGTGAAGGTTGTGACACCAACATATCCGAAAATCAATTTATGCAAAGTTCTTTCTAAAAGTAATTTCTACAGAGAGTTAATTGCTGTTGAATCTTGTATATTTGATAACTTATCTAATTGCTTCTTTCGTATCCAACACGAACCACTTTAATCATCTTCTCTGAAATTTCGATTTAGGAATGCTTCAGTGTACACGACGTTTTCGCTTTGAACATGATGTTACCCAACGTACAACTTTCCGAGAGATTGTGCATCAGTCAGTTCTACAACTTTTGAATTTTACTGTTACTTGAATTGAAGAGCCTCGTAGTCAAATCGCTGCATCACTGCCCACAAAAAAAGAGACTTGTTCTACGTTCGTTTTCCAATATAACACTACCTCAGTTTTCTATTATTCATCGTTTTTCTAAGGAAATTTTTACTAGGTAAAAATCAGCATATGGTGTTCTATTGATTGGCACATATTGGTCCTTTGAAAATGCCAAAAAAACTTTTGGAATTCAGACTCCTAGACGAGGATACGGCAACTGATTCATACAAGTGTCTTCTGATCTCCTATGTTTCTTGCAATTTTAGCTTTTTAAGCAGCCATTACGATTATGGTATACAGTTATATACAATGCAGAAGATATGGATGATCATTACTTGGTGAAAATTTCCTTAGCGAAATGGTGAATAACAGAAAACTGGGATACCATTATGTTGCTACAAGAACGTAAAATAGGTCTTTTCTGGGGAGTTATATAGCAGTTCGAACATGAAATCCTTCAATTTAGGAACCAGTAAAATTCAGAAGTCGTAGAACTGGATGATGTACAATTTCTCGGAGAATTACACGCTGGTTATGGCATGTTCTGAGCCACAACATCGTGTACATTGAAGCGTTCCTAAACTAAAATTTCAGAAAAGATGGCTAAAGCTGTCTGTGTTGGGTATGAAGGAAGCAATGAGGTGAGTTATTAAATATACAATATTCAGTAGCAGCCAAGCCTTTATAGAATTGACTTTTAGAAAGAACTTTGTATAAGTTGATTTGTAGATATGCTGATATCACAGCCTTCACAAGTACCATAACATTGTATAGTGTCCATCAGGCAGTATATGAAGTCTCGTAATATCAAAGCTTGGTGAAAATGCTATTTCCTACATATCATTGGATATGCTGGAAACTGCTTTACAAAATGATGTAGGTAGCTTTTCAATTTAAAGATGACGGTCAAATCCTAAAGGATCTTTAACGTATATGTCGTTATATATTCAAAAATCGTCTTGACACATACACTCTCGTTTACGAAACTATAATCAAGATAAATATTTTCTGCAGTTCTCTAACTGATATAGCTTAATTATCGTTTTACATCTATACATATTAACTGTTTAATATTATTAATATTTCACATTTAAATAACTGTTGTATTCACCTTTTTTTTGTCATAGTTATTATCAATTCAAGAATTAATGAATCAAATTGAATTATTTAATAAAAAAAAAAATGTTAAAAACTTACTTCATATCAATCCATAGACCATCAAATTTTATTTTTTTATGATACTTTATTATTTGAGTTTTCCACCAATCTTTAGCTGGTGGATACAAATAATCGGGAAATACTGTTTTACCTAAAATAAAAGAAAGAGAATTATAAAAAGAGATTCTACACATTCTAAACAAACCATATGGCCAAACATATCCAAGCATATTTCTATTATGAGTTTCGTTGACTTGAGGATTTTTTCTTTCTGGCCATTTAATCCAAATATCTGTTTTTTGTCCTTCAGTAAAAACATCATATTTTGGTTCTTCAGAATCGATAGCTGGATCAAGTATTGTTATAAATTTCATTCCTTGTTGATGTAACCAATCAATATATTCAGGTAAACCTTTAAAACGTAATGGATCCCAAGTGAAATCAAGTTGTTGTCGAAAATAATCAATATCACCATACCTAAACAAAACAAAAAAGAATTTGATAAAAAAACAAAAACTAAATAAATTTTCCTTACAAAATATCAACTGGAATTTTTCCATCTAAAGTTCTTTTCATAGCTGCTTTCATATTTTCAAGTGTATCATAACCATATCGACAAAGTTGAAAACCTAATGCCCAATAAGGTGGCATATAAGGATAACCAATAACTAATTGATATTGTCGAATTACATC